TCGAGCACCTGGGCTCAGGAATAAAGTCATCGATCGACTCAAACTGGATGTAGGGCATGTTGCCTGAATCAGTATAAACCCTGTGTTATTGAGTGCTAGGCCACATCCGATCATAACGTATGGCAAAACTACAAATATTTACGTGTTGGTCACTTTCTGCACCGACACTAGTACTCCTTGTTTTATTATATATATATAGTAAATCGATATTAAGAGTAAGAATGCCTTTAGTTGCTAAGCTAATACATGAAATGTTTCATACCTGCTTAGTGGAAATGATAGGCAACTTAGCGTCTTAGTCGGTAGAGCTAGCTTAGTAGTTTGATAGATGTATTCTTATTTTAAAAGTTGTTGTTGCCGTATTACTAAGTATTGCATCATCATTTCATGCATGTAGATAACGAGTTGGTAGAGTTCATGCCTGTGGGTGAACATGAGTATGAGGATATCATTGAAGAGTACGAGGAGGAGATTCTCGTTCAGGAGGGAGCCTCGAAGCCATCAGTTGCTGACTTTGTTGACACCCCGCCTGCCCAAGGCAAGCCTCGGTGCATAACCCTTATTTTGAATGATATCTAAATATATATATGTGATGTGCATTTATGTTACAGGCATTTTATGAAAACTACATGCATAGATATACCTACATATGAGTCCTACTAGTATAGGTCGAGTAGCTGCTATGCTCAGAATTTCGATAGCGTGAGTAACCTGCCGTTACTCACAATAGGTGATTATTAAGATCACTCATGATAAAATGGTGGAAAGGAAAAATGGAGACCAGACAGGGATATGGTTTGGGTATTGGTGGGTGTAAGAGGTTGTGTCCTGTGGCCAACGGGGCATAGCTTGGTTACACTTTTTCCCTGTCTGTGTCGGTTAAGGATCGGCCGTTGCATTAGACTCTAGGTAAGTCACAGACTTATTATCCTGAGCATATATTTGTGTATGGGCGCAGAGAAGGCTTGTTGCTCTCTTGTCATGGGTTCTAGCACTTTCTAGATAGACTGATTGGAGGCGGGGATGGTGGAGGTCTAAGCACCGCACTGAGTCCAGGATTCAGGAGCGGGGGCTTAGAGTCCAAGTTTGGACGGGGACCTAGACCCCGTGACAGGAGAGTGGTGGGTTGGCCCTGCTTGTGCCTGGGGTACAAGTAGGGCATGTGTTTTAGGGTACCTAGCTGGGCACATTGATTCATGAATCGCCGGCAATCCGGTACGGCTTGTCTACACTCTAGCACCGTAGTAAGAACTGAAAGAGGAAAGGTGGTGAAATGGAACTGTTTGCTCAACTCTTGCTTGAAAGTAGAATAGGTGCTTACATAGAATGGTTAGATAATGAACTAATCATGAATGCTAATAATTAACATACATAAGGATTCACTTTTAGTATTGCTTTCTGCAAAAAGGAACCCAGCAAACCATAAAGCTTATCATATTCCTTGAAGTCGAGAAATTATTCCCACTAGTCGGATAAGTCTTGCGAGTACATTGTGTACTCTGGGTTTATTTACCCCTATTGCAAGTACTGCTTGAGGAGTAGCCGTTGTGTGAAGGATTCTTCTGGTGGGCACAGACAGATCCTTATATATTATCGATAGATGTTTCTTTTCATTCCGTTGTTAAATTTCCACGCTCTGAATTTGGTACTGTAATAATATATTTCTAAGAACTCTGGATGTATGAAATGTACTAAGTAATGTAAACTCGTTCTCATTATCAGATCCTGAGGGAAATAGGTGGATTATTCGAGCTCTCCCTTGGGGTGTGCTCGACGGAATCCGCCCGACTTAGCTCGCTCTTGGGGTGCTTAGTGTCTAGTTGAAGACAAGCGCCTTCGTAAGTGCGTTATTTTGGATGGTTCTGCCACAAAGAGCGTCGCCAAGGAGCTGCTGCTGACTGTCCATAACGCAGAGCGTGGCTGGTGCATGTGTAGGAGCGAAGTTGAGGACAGGGTCGTCTCTGGGTGACACAAATAAGAACGTGACTGGTCGGCGAGTCGGTGAAAAAATAGAGTGCATGGAGAACGATTGGAGTATCTTAAACATAGAGAAATTAGTTGTGGAGAATGACTGGAGAAATAATAATTGGAGAAACATGGTTAGGAGAGTTGTATTAACTGCAGATATACAAAAGGTACTTATCTTTAGTCATAATGTCTGATCGGCGGCATATGACGTTATCTGGTCGGCGCCGATGAAATTACCTGGCCCTCGAACTTTTTGGCCTGTCGTCCTGGCGGCGGTCACGGTCGTCATAACACCGTTCTTCGCGGCGATCATCATTGTGTCTTCGCGGCACGGCTCGCTTGGTGGCTCAGATGGCTCGCTTCGTGTTCGAGATGGATCCGAGTGGACGAAGTTGTTGTCGGCGCATCACAGAGCAGCGACCAAGTTGGTGCTTAAAAAGCAGCGCTTGGTCATCGTTCTTGAGCCTGGTCGTTGACGAGGTTGACCGAAGTCGTGGCGGATCATCAATGAATCAGGAACGATTATCATGTGCATAGGTGCCTCTCCCTTGCATGACGTGAAGTTGGCCACCTGATCATGTACATCTTTTTGCTGAACATCCGCGTGCTGTAGTAAAATAGTTTTATCTGCCTTCCAAACCGGAGTGCCGATCATCGAAAGCAAGTCCTTGTTCACTCCGACTCAAATCGAAGACGGCACATGCACTTTCCAAGCAGGTTCAAATCCCTGACTCCTGTTCGGTTTACAGCTGCTGATGACGTGGTGCAAGTATGCGTGCATGCACATGTGAACTCCAAGATCTGGATTATTTGCATGTTGTCGTACGTAGCTTCCTTGCCTGGACGATTCAATCTTGCCATCTAGCGGGCCATCGGTTGTCGATCAGTCGCTGCAGGGATAGCAGCGCTTCGACTTGGGGACGCGTGCTGCTCGGAGATGCACCATGATCGTTGAAGGACGTCGACTTTGATCAGCCGAGCTGCCACGAAGCATATTGATCTTGAGGTAGGCCATCTAGTTTGTCATGGGATCAGCATGCACACACCTTATTTGGCGTGCCAACTGTCGACAGAATATCATCGACAGTCCTTCGAGGGGTACCCCACAAAGGTAGATTGATCAGCAAAGGTGCGCGTAATCAAGAATAAGAAGACAACAGAGACATGAGAGTTAGACAGGTTCGGGCCATCTGCACGACGTAATACCCTACTCCTGTGGTCTGTTGGTTTGTATTGGCTATCGTATGATATTGCATGTGTGATTGGATATGGGATGGGGCATTTCGACTAGGGGACCCCTACCCCTCCTTATATACTCTGGAGGGGTAGGGTTATAAGAAAAGTATCCTAGTCGGTTACATAGCAAGTAATAGATTATAATATCTGTAGTATTCGATCAAATCTTCTAGATGTCTTGCAGTGTACGCCGAGCAGTGCCGTGTGCTGCAAGTCTTGAATCTTGTGGGTTGGACCGTCCCTAACTGTATGGTCCATGTCCATTGCCATGGGTACCTGGGGTTATACCCCCCACAATCACACTAGTACACAAAAGTTTATTGGAGGCGGGCAAAATAGATTAATAGAGGCAGGCATTGCAACCGCCTCAAAACAAAGGTCACCGTTAATAGAGGAACTACGGAGGCGGTTGCTTTGCCCGCCTCGATTAATTGATTAACAATGCCCGCCTCGGTTAATCGATAAAAAAATATCCACGAGCCCACTAGCGAGCCCGTTCCCAGCCTAGTAGCTGGATCTGGCCCCGCCGACCTCTGTCGTGGATCTAGACCGCCGTCGTCGTCGGATCTAGGCGCATCCGACCTCCTCCTCGCCAGATCCAGGCACGGCTAGCCTCCTCCATGCCGGATCCAGAGCATGCACCTCCATGCTGTCGCTGGATCCTCAGCCCTAGGAGAAAGAGAGAGTGAGGGAGAGAGGAGCGAGGAGAGATGGAGAGCGAGGGAGAGAAGAACGGATCCATCAGTTGCCTGTGTCGAAGAGTGGATCGAGGCTAGATCTACGCCGCCGTTTTGAAGGATCCATGCCCGTTGGATCTAGAGGAGCCGTTGCGGGGTGTGCAAGCTGGTGGCTGCCTCGAGCCACCACGCCGCCGCCGCCGTTGCTGGGCGCACGCGAGTGGGTGGCCGCGCCCCAACCGGATCTGCCGGTTGTGCGACGAGGGAGGGAGGAAAGGCGTGCCGCTGCCGCCCCGCGCCCCATGCGCCGCCGATGCCGATGGGGGTTGCCCCGCGCACCACAAGAGAGGGAGAGGGAGGCCGGAGTGGAGAGGGAGAGGGAGGCGCGGCTCGGTGGGAGGGAGGCGGTGAAACAGAAAGAGGGAGGAGTGAAGAAACCCTACGGTCTATCTATTTATACTTGAAGATGGAAATCGGGCCTCGCTGGGCTGTTGGGCCTCGGCCTTTTCAGAGGCGGGCCTTATAGCGTGCTCGCCTTCAAAAATAGATTTACGGAGGTGGATAGCTTAAGACGACCGCCTCTAAAAATAGACCATTTTTTAAGGCGGTTGTCTTAAGACGACCGCCTCCGTAAATCTATTTTTGGAGGCAGGCACCCTCGGTAAATAAAAAGCGTCCGCCTCCGTTAATCGTAGGCATTAACCGAGGCGGTGGGATTTTATGACCGCCTCCGTTAATAAAAGAGTACCGTCTTGCAAAATCATTTGTGTAGTAGTGTCATATGTGAGATGAATATGATTCAGATATTTTCCAATGTTAGAGAAATGCCCGGAAGTAAGAAACCCAACACTTTCATCAGCAGCTCAATAATGCCGACGCCATGGCGTTTTCAATGTCGCAAATATTTGTCATTCCATTTAATCTCACACAAAATAAGCAGCATTAAAGAAAAAAAAACTATTCTCTAGTTCACACCTGGGCACCAAGCAGGTAGGCAGCCATGCAGAAAATGCTACTACTTTCAATTTGAGTATTTATTATTGTAGACTACAAAAATGTACAGTAGATCTATACTATGTGTATACTTGCATGTATGGGTAATTTACAAAAATGTACAGTTCATCTTCCGAGGTCATCAGGCGCCTCCTGGCCGGCGGTCGCTGCCGGCAGCTGCTGGACAAGGACAAGCGCATCGTGAACCGGCAGCATCACGAGGATGACAAGCGTTGCCTCGGTGGCCACCGCCACGGCGACGAACCCAACGAGGCCGACGGTGGGCGACGTGTACTGGTGCATGTCCCACACCGAGGTCAGGGCGAGCGCCAGCACCTGCAGCGGCAGCGGCACGAGGATGAGCACGGAGAGCGCGTACGCCCTCGCGCGCAGCCGCCTGTTGATGGCGACGGCGGCCACGTCCCAGCACGCAGTGGCGAGCAGCGGCAGGTACACAGCCACGAGGGCGAGGAGCAGCGTGGCGGCGTACGCCGGGTACGCGCAGTGCCCGGCGCCGTCCGCGGCGTGCGCGAGCTGGCCTGGGTAGGCCGCGACGGTGGCCGGCGTGGCGAGGACGACCACGTGCGCGGTGAGGAACGGCAGGCAGGCGAGCGGCACGGCGAGCGCGGCCGCCGGCAGCCGCGCGCCGCCGACGGACGCGCGCAGCAGCAGGAGCACGCTGGCGAGCAGCCCTGGCTCCGCGATGCCGTGGGCCACGAGCGGGTACGCGAGGCACGGCATGACGTGGCGGCGCGGCGGCAGCATGGCTGCGCCGCGGAAGAACGGGAGGCGGAGCAACTCGGCGGCGGCCAGGAGCCCCACGAAGAAGGCGAGCAGCAGGCGTAGCCCGCACAGCGATGGCCCGAGGTCGAGGATGCGGCGCAGCCGGCCCTGCCCCGCGTGCGCGTGCGCGTCGAAGGAGACGAGCACGAACGACGCTGCGACGGCGAGCGCCGCGATGGCCACGGCGAGGCCGGCCACCGCGAAGTCGGCCACGCCGGCGACGGGCTGCGCCGTGAGCTTCCCGGCATCGAGCGCCTCCGCAACCGCTACGCTAGCCTGCATTGCTTCTTGGCAACAACCCGAGGTCGGTTCCTAGCACCGGCGACGACGGCGCGCTCGATCTTGGAGCAACCACGACGACCACACGGTTTCATATCAAACCGAATTGGAACGTTGGCATCGATCAGCATGCATGCAGGAGCGACAAGACCACGAAATTCGAATCTAATAAAGAGGAAGCAGCAGCTCCCATTTTTTTTCTTTCATTTCATCCGGCATCTTGCTGCCGGCCGGCGTAATCTCTTCATAAGTAGAAGCAAGAAGCAGATGCTTTAATTGCGTAAACGGCAAAGGCAGGAGATCATGTGATGAATTAGAAAATTAGTAACTCTCTCCACATAGGAGGCAGGATTATTGCATGGGACACTAGCTGGGATCTTTTCTTAATTAAGCGTTGCCAGTCAATGATGACACTGTTAGATTGCGGTTTGGTGGCCGCCGTCTTAAAATAACTAGCTTGCTGTCAGAGGCATCCAAAAATGTAACTGCACGTTTTGGAAAGTTTGTAGGCCGGAGGGGCCAGTTCAATTCCAATTCGGCGTCCAAAAATGTAGCTGCACGTTTGGAAAGTTTGTAGTCCGGATCGGCCAGTTCAATTCCAATTCGGTGTTCCTCTCTACGTACAAGCACAACCAAATAATATTTATTGTTATCTATATCTATATACCTATATATATATATATATATATATATATATATATATATATATATATATATATATATATATATATATATACACACACACACCTAATATTCTCCATCCATTTTTTGGTCCGTCACTCCACTAACTTCTGAGAGTAAAAATTGTATCTATTTCTTTGTGTGCAGCCCTTCAGGTTTATAGCAACCCTCCAGATTTATATATGACATATGTAGAGCTTTCCTGAGATAACATGAATAGCTATGATTCCTAATCTAAAAAGATCTCGTTGATCTTTTTTTTTTTTTGAACGAATGATCTCTTCGATCTTGAACCTTAATAGGAATCCAAATCGAAATAGAAAATGATGTATCTATATCTTTTTATCCTACTATTAAATCACGATTTAATATGTTTTTTTATTTCACCTGCGCTATTTTTACATGTATATTTTTTCTGCCTGTCTATATATTTTTCAGTTCGGGCTTTTTCTGTCTGTATTTCTGTTTCCCGACCATCCCCGAGTGCGCGTTTCTGTTTTCCGGTTCTGTTTTTTCTGTTGTCTTTTCTTTTTCCCGTGTCCAACTTTTCTTTGTTCCCGTGACTTTGACTTGCATGTCTAGCTCTCTCATTGCGTGATTTTTCTTTTGTTTTTTTTTTTTTGTTTTCTAGAGTATCTCCTGTTTTATTATATATAAACATAAAAAATAAATAATAAATACAATATTATAGATCTTTAAACTTTGATCATTCTTTATCCCTATCCCTCATAAACAAATATTTTCATCACTAAATTATTGATATAATTTTAACTAGAAATAGAACTTATTATCATTAGAACCTGGATGGGTTGATGGCCTAATTAATCAAGCCATGAACTGAAATCTTAAGTAGTTTGTCAACTTAATGAAAATAAATGTATCTTCAAGTTGTACGTTTACACTAATGCAATCCTCAATGAGGGTTGCTATGTGAAAATTTAATTGAGAGGTCTTGACAACAACTAACTTCTTGCCAATTTTAATCAGATATTACAGTTACATATTTTTTTATAGATGCCACGTAGAAATCGAGGTCTTTCACAACAACTAACTCATTGCCTATTTTAATCAGCTATTAATATTACATATTTTTATGTATCCTAAAAAGAAGTAACTTGATATCTAACTCTACCAACACATGAAAAATGATGATATATTTACGAGTAAATATTTTTGTGCCTTACAATGAGGGAAAAAGATCTATCAAGGTTGCAGTTTAATTCAATATAGACTTGATAGGACATCGTCGTATTATTGCCAATATTAACTTATAGAATATTATTATATTATTGGCAGTATTAACGGCTTTAGCACCAGAGCAAGCGAAGCCACATCAAACAAGATCGTAGGGAGGAACGCTTCTACCCTCCCGTACATGGAGCCAAAACTATTTTGGTTGCAAGAGTCAAAGCGCAAAACGTTGGCTTTGCTTGAAGCCTTCCACTTTGGCTCTAACTCCGACAACAAGCACTTGGCACAGAGCCGTACCAAATGCGTGCAAGGATGCCATAGTGATCAAAGAATAACTTATAACTACTATTTTTTCTAGAAAAGGATAAAAAAAATATATAAATGTAATAATTTCTATTAAAAGTTTGATAGTTTTTTCTCTCCCGTTGCAACGTACGTGCATATTTGCTAGTAATAATAATATATGAAAATATAGGACTATAAAAGATACTTCGAACATGATGTTTATACATCACTACCACATGAGTTTTTTTGTTTTGAAAATGAACAATTAAAATACTCTATTTGTTACAAATTATAAGTCGCTTTGATTTTTTCTAGGTATATAGTTTTTGTTATGCACTTAAATATACACCATGTTTAGATTTATAGTAAAATCAACTAGAGAAAAGGTTGCCCCCGCATTATATTGATCATAAAGCGTTCAAAAGTTTAAGCTCACAACATTTTAGGCGCGCTCGTCAGAATCCAAAACGTAAGGATAAACTGGCCTAACAGCCAACTACAGCAACATTAAGCAGATTGATAGTAGCAGCATTACTACGATTACTCTCTAGCTCACTTGCTTGTATCGCCACGCAGGTATAGTCGTGGGCCAAAGGCCGAACAACCGACTATCCTGAGCCTGAACATACCTTCGTGTCCCATCCAATCCTCAGCGGCTGGTTCGTCCTTGCCTCTAGCTCGAGTATCACTTCCTCTACCATCAAGTCCAGCTCTTGATTGTACATTGGTCTCCATCTTCTCAAAGTCTTGGCAATCGAGAACATCACTTCCATCTTTAGGTAAAATCAATGTATGTAGAAAATGCAGCATGTCTTATAATTTAAGATTGAGGCCCTAATCGTCTCGAATGCTGCACTTCTACGACAACAGCGGTAGGTGTGGCTGCTTAGAGCGCTTATAGTGGGTAGTTCGAAGCTGATCCTATGCATTAAATGCTTCTATAGAGATAGGATCCATACACTGTGGGGGTGCTCCTATAAAGATCTAGGTCCGAAGAATAGAACCAGGTTCCGTAGAATAGAAAAAAAAAAGACAACCGAAAGCAACGAGCTGAAATAAAGGTTAATCATTTTATCCCTGTGGGTCCTATTTTTGAGCTAGATCTGGATCTATACATTGAGGCTGATAAAATATATGATGTGAAATCATTTGCTGGATCCCATCTAAGGGCATCTTCTACTCTTGCTTCTGTACTATAGTGAAGCCAGTCAGAGCTTAAAACTCTAGCTCCTTTGGCTTATCTGGTTTATAGTTTATTTTTAACAGAAGCCAGAGCTATTTTTTTCTTATGCTACAGTAATCTAAAATGTCAGATAGCACGCTGCTGTGTTCTAGCAAGTGGCGCCAAACGGCTCAAAGTTTGTACGGTGGCTGAATGGCTCTCTCGTCTTCCTTCCATGAGAGTAGCTGCATTTTGTTTCTTTTATCTGAAAATAGCATTTTCTTTGCTTCTCACTATACTCTGTCAGTTTCTCTCTCATTTGGCCACCCATCAGTCATCATGACCCATGCCAGACCCCCCTGGTGGGTTCCCACACGGCCACACTACTGGAGGCAGATTCAGTAACTTTGCTCTGCAATCTCCATCCTCCAACCAAGATCCAATGACTCCCAGCATTCCCAAGCAAAAGCTTTTCAGCCTGATCGGCCGTGGTACAGGCAGTGCTGTAGCTGCTGCAGCAGCTGCACAACAGCGCAAGGTACCAAAACTACAACCAATCCACAGCAGCTGCAGCTCAAACAACAGTAAGAATCACAGCAAAATTTTCCAGCAGCAGTTCACTCTCAAGAGCGCAAATAAATAATTCAGCCCTTGTTTAGTTGTAGGAATTTGGATTTGGGGATACTATAGCACGTTCGTTTTTATTTGGCAAATAGTGTTCAAATATGGACTAATTAGGCTCAAAACGTTCGTCTCGCAATTTCCCACCAAACTGTGCAATTAGTTTTTCTTTTCGTCTACATTTAATGCTCCATGCACGGACCGCAAACATTCGATGTGACAGATACTGTAGCAACTTTTTGGAAGTTGAGGTTGAACTAAACAAAGCGTCAAGTGACATCTATACTATAATCATTAGAACTTAGCATTTTCCAGTTTGGAAGTTCTAGGTTCAAAGCACAAATACATACCACATTCATTTGTACAATAGGACACAAAAGATTATAGCTACTTAGCTAGGCCACAAAAGACTATAGTTGGGCCATTTCACTTATACAATTAGGCTGCAAAAGGCTATAGTTAGCCCTATCCAAATTACCATCTAACAAACATGTTCATACTAGAACAGACCATGATCATTAAGAATACCACCTGTAAAGTAATCTGCTGCTCCCCTGTACGCGCGGCAGGGGCAGGCGCCGAAAGGGCTCCCCTGCTATTGCACCGTAGCCGCGGCAGGGGTAGGTGCCGAAAGGCTCCTCTGCCGCACTGTAACCACAGCAGGGGCAGGCACCAAAGTCAGCCCTGCTGTCACATCTAGTCGCTGTAGCAGCATGGCAGCCTGGCATGTCTGTGCACTAGGATTACATGGGTAGAGTTGTATATATAGCTTCCCACAGCAACTCAGTAAAGAGAGTGAGTTCAGTTTTGCCATCTCCTCTGCAGAGCTCCGGCCAACGCTGGTGCTTGTGTTCTATGTGTGTGCGCTCTGTTCTCCCTCCCTTCTTCTAGCTCTAGCCATAGTGAGCGAGAACACCGGTTACCGATCGGCTCACCCGGTGACCGGTCGGCTCACCCGTGCAGGAGATCGCGGACCAACAAGTGGTATCAGAGCCGTACAAGCGCCGTCGCCAGACTAACCATTGGCGATGACGGACGGTTTGGAGATGGGCGACAGCAGCGA